CCGGGGAACAGGGGGAAAAAAAGAAGTACGGACATACAAATGACAATTCCTCGGGCAGGCTCCAGACGTGCATCACAGGAAGGAGAAACTCGCGGGGCAAAGAAGGGACACAGGCGGGCCAGCGGGGCAGACGTGGCTGCACGTTCAACCAATGGTCACGACGCCATATTCGGAGGCGTGGGTGGGCCGGTGTGGGCAGGCACGACCGATGTGGTATTGGCAGCATCCACATCGGCGCCGATACGCCTCTCCACCCCTACGCCTCCCCAGTAGCTGCCTCAAATTCTTACCTCACGTCGACTTGCTTGAGCCTGTGCGTCCTTCTGTCTTGTCTCCCCCTTTGACACCATTCTGTTTGTTCGAGAGCATCGCGAGAAAGTACATCGCCGGTGCTTCAACGTCTGTCTCGAGCACCATTGGCACTTTCGTCTTGTAGATTGCCAAGTGAGTCACCACCACCGCTACCGTTGCCCGCTGCCCGCTGCTCGCTGCCCGCTCTATGATGCCCTCTCACACCCCTCCTTCACCTTTGGCGCCTGTTTTTCGGGCTGCTTCACCACTCCTCCCCCCCCGAAATACCAATCGCCTCCTAAACCCAACTGTTGCTCTTTTCACAGTCGTGGCATTCTTTTGCAAAACCACATTGCTAACTCTCCCCGACAGCCTTTTGGAACGGCCTTTTGCCGTTTCCACCCCTCCTCTACCTTGTTCCCGATAATACCTCTTCCTACGAGTACCACCCAACCCCACCGCCACTATGCACATCAAGGAGATGCTCGCCGACGCCGAGCGCGACGGCCAGCCCTCCTTCTCTTTCGAGTACTTCCCTCCCAAGACAGCCCAGGGTGTCCAGAACCTCTACGACCGCATGGACCGCATGTACAACTTTGGCCCCAAGTTCATCGACATCACCTGGGGTGCCGGCGGTAGGATCGCCGAGCTCACTTGCGAGATGGTCACGCAGGCTCAGAGTGTCTACGGTCTCGAGACCTGCATGCACCTGACCTGCACCGACATGGGCCTCGACAAGGTCAACGACGCTCTGCGCAAGGCTTACAAGGCCGGCTGCACAAACATCCTCGCCCTCCGCGGCGACCCCCCCCGTGAAAAGGAGAAGTGGGTCGCCGCCGACGGCGGCTTCGAATATGCTCGTGACCTCGTCAAGCACATTCGTGCCACATACCACGATCACTTTGACATTGGTGTTGCTGGCTACCCCGAGGGCTGCGATGACAATAAGGACGAAGAGTCCCTGCTCGACCACCTCAAGGAGAAGGTTGACATGGGTGCCACCTTTATTGTGACCCAGATGTTCTACGACGCCGACAACTTTGTCCGCTGGGTCGGCAAGGTCCGCGAGCGTGGCATTACCATCCCCATTGTCCCCGGCATCATGCCCATTGCCACCTACGCCAGTTTCATGCGCCGTGCCAAGCACATGAACTGCAGCGTCCCCCAGGAATTCATGGACGCCCTCGAGCCTGTTAAGAACGACGACAACGCTGTTCGTGAGGTCGGCAAGGTCCTCGTCGCCGGCATGTGCCGCAAGATTCTCGCTGCCGGTATTCACCATCTGCACTTTTACACCATGAACCTCGCCCAGGCCACCCGCATGGTCCTCGAGGAGCTCAACTGGATGCCCACTTCGGAGCGCCCCCTCAAGCAAGCCCTGCCCTGGAAGCAATCTCTCGGTCTCGGCAGGCGAGAGGAGGACGTGCGTCCCATCTTCTGGAAGGGACGCAACAAGTCGTACATTCTCCGCACGCAGGACTGGGACGAGTTCCCCAACGGTCGATGGGGTGACTCGCGCTCACCCGCTTTTGGTGAGCTGGACGCCTACGGTATCGGTCTGACCGGCACGAACGAGCAGAACATCAAGAAGTGGGGAGAGCCACAGACCGTTCAGGACATTGCGACCCTGTTTGTTCGCTACCTCCGAAACGAGATTGACTGTCTCCCCTGGAGCGAGTCGCCTCTGACAAACGAGGCAGACCCCATTCGCGAGGATCTCATTGCACTCAACAAGAGGGGTATCATCACCATCAACTCTCAGCCTGCTGTGAACGGCGTCAAGTCTTCCCACGCCGTGCACGGCTGGGGTCCCAAGAACGGTTATGTCTACCAAAAGTCATACCTCGAGATGCTGGTTCATCCCGACCTCTACCCTGAGATCATTTCTCGCATTGAAAAACACCCTGACATGACCTATTACGCCGTCACCAAGAGCGGAAACCTCAAGTACAACGCGCCCTCGGACGGGCCTAATGCCGTGACCTGGGGTGTCTTCCCCGGAAAGGAGATTGTGCAGCCGACCATCGTCGAGGGCATCAGTTTCGTGGCTTGGAAGGACGAGGCCTTCCGCCTCGGTCTCGACTGGGCGCATTGCTTTGAACAGTCGTCCCCCAGCCGTGTGCTTGTCGAGCGTATCATGAATGAGTGGTACCTCGTAAACGTCGGCAAGTGCAGCCCTATCGTGCCATTTGAAGCGTGCAATGTTTCGCTAACAAGTCACAGTGAACAACGATTTCCACCAGCAGCGCGAGATTTTCGATCTCTTCGAGGGTCTCTCCGTCAAGGAGTACGACGACATCAAGCCGGTGGCCAAGGACGTCGCTCCCGACGCCGTTTCGGCCCCCACCAACGGCACTACCAACGGCATCGCAGTTCCTGCGGCCTAATTTATTTGACACTCACGATTTGACCCTTTTATGATGCATCTTACGAGGCGTTTTAAACCCAGGATAGGGAAACACGACAAGAGGTGCCAGCATGCTTTTTTCAACAAAAAAGGAGGAGACAGCCAAGGCTGTATTCGAGTCACGCCAAATTGGGACTCGCAAGGTACAGCCAGGAGGTCCTGGCAGGAAACAAAACCGAGGGAGATTGACGGAATCTCTCTTTTATGACGGGCGGAAGGGCGGAAGCATGCATATCATATCTCAACGATACCCCCAAGAACCAATTCGAGTTCAACCTTAAAACTGAAGGCCGCAGGATAGCGGCTTGGAGCATGGAGTTCTTTTCAACATGGGGGCATTTTTCTTCTGGTTTCCTGGTGGATGGCGGGCGGGGGATGGAGCAGCGGCGGAGACGCTGTTGGATAGTCTCTAGTGGGCGGGAAATACTACTCTTGACTACCAATAACTTTGTTCATGACAAGTGACAGATTGTCTGCTCAACCACACTGGTAGATGTCTAGGCAAAGGAGTCGGCCCCCTCGCCCCGGACAACACTTCAAGTGTTGTCCACGTCAGTCGGCTATTTCAAGTGCGGAGAAGAGGCGATGGGAGACTCCCACAGCCACTTTATCAAACACAATGGTCTCGCCTTCAAAGTCATGTTGGGTCCAGCGCATCATGCACTTTGATGAGCCAAACCAGTCACGTTCAATCGTCGTGCAACGTCAGTCATGAAAAGGTGTCAATACAAGTCTATCATGCTGGTTCCAGCCGAGACCTAGGCCGCGGGGCCACTGATAGCCAACCGCAGTCTGTCCGCCTCTCCATTCCGCCCACCAAACACAGCGTTCCAGCTGTGCGAATCCGTGCCCTTCCCGTCCGAGGTTCGACGGACGTCTCGCGTCCGGGGTATAGTGAACCCAATGCTAGTAGTACAAAACGAGGCCGCTCGTTGCCTCGTGCAAATGTTTTTTGGTGGTCGTCATGCGAGGAAAAAAAAAAAGAAGAAAACTCCCCACTCTCTACCGGCGAAAGCATGTTACAAGCTCAATCCACCCACTCGCCGTCTTCGTATAGCTCGTAATCCATGTCCACTTCCGTCTTGGGCTCGCGCTTCACGTCCGGCTGCGGCTCGGCCGACGCGCGTCTCTCGACGGCAACGTCGGGCTCGTTCTTCCCGACCGGGTCTCGAGCCGGGGCAGGTGGAGCGGTAGAAACGACGGCCGCAGCGGGACCGACCGCGGCCGGCCCGTTCTCGACCCAGGCAACCTCGACGGAGCCCACGTTGGGAATGGGAGCCAGTTTAGCGGCATGCAGGAACCGCTCGGCCGTCTTGCGCGACTTGAATGTGATTTGCGCCGTCATGGGCGTGATCTGAATATCATTAAATTCACCGATCCCCTAGAACCATGTTAGTGTTGGGCACGCAACCAAAAGAAACGTGAGAGGGGCAAACGTACGAAAAGGTGCTGTCGTAGCGCCTCGTCCTTTTCGGAATCCGAAAAATCAACACCCGAGACCTCAATCACACGGGTGCGGTTGTCGAGTGTGTACTGCTCGAATGCCGCATACACGGCAGCCCTGTCGACGACGTGGCCGCCACGACCGCGATGGGCACCACGGCCACGGCCACGGCCGCGGCCGCGACCGCGGTACCCACCGCGGAATCCGCCATAGGTGCTGACGTCGTCCGCGTTCGGGTCGAGACCAAGGTACTTGGCCTCCTCTTCGAGAGCGGCGAGCTGGGCCCTGAGCACCTCGTTATTACTGGAGCCGTCAGTGCC